ATTATTAAAGGAAAGTAGACTACTCAAGAATTTCACATTTCATTTATGTCATGCAGAAAATTCAAAAAGATATCAAAAAATATTTATTTTTTAATTACCAATTAAAAACACCAGTACATAAAAAAAATTAAACTTTTCAAAATTTCAGTACTTAATGTTCAAATTTATCATACACCACCTTAGTTTGGTCCTCATATTTGGGCCGCTATTGTTAGTTCTCACTGTTATTTTGTTATGGGCCTAGTGGCTTCTCTCTGGACCAAAGCAGTACCAAAAAACTTGTGAATTTGACCAGTAGTGTGCTCATCGAGCAAGAATTATACGGTTGGTTTTCAATATATATATATATATACCATGCAGTCGTCAAGCTGGAATAGCTCAGTTGGCTAGAGCGTGTGGCTGTTAACCACAAGGTCGGAGGTTCAAGCCCTCCTTCTAGCGTATAAATGAAAGATTATAAAATTTTAAAATAACCTCACAATATTTTGATTGAGAAGAACCACTAAAAAAAATTATTTTTTATTTTAAAGACTACTAAATATTAAACCTAAATTTTTGAAATTGATTTTTAACTTTTTGATATGAGTTTTAAACTTGAATTCAATTACCAAATACTCTCCTAATTCAAAAGTTATGATAAAAATTATATACAAAGTCTCTTCTTTATTATACAATCCTTTACTAACTTAATAGTTTAAATGCACCCAATCAGCACCACGCTCGGTCACCTCTTCTCTTTTGTGGTAAAATTTTGCATCAATACTGTCTATTTTAATTACCCCTTTTCATTTAGCCACTTACTGCTAGGGACCCGATGTTTGCATTTTGATATGTTTTGGGATTGTGTGATAGCATCTGGTGCCTCACAACGAACTGAAAAACACAAAAATGGGAAATAGTTTGAATGTTTGTTTGGTTGTCGGTATTATGAAAACTCTTTACTAAAAACTGAATTAAAAAAGAGGTTATTTTTAGATAATTGTCCATTATAATTCTCTTAAAACAATCATTTTACATAATTATATCCTTGAGAGTGCTTGTGTTATCATTCGTAATTCCACAGCCAAAGCAGGTCAATATTCACTATCTTGGGGTCGTAAGCTATATAAAGCTTTGGGAACAATGATACAAGCCTATAGAGTAAATTGAGTAATTCTTAACAAAACAGTGAAACATTAAGTTGCACAATTCTTCTAAATAGATGATGCTCCGAGCACACTTTCGTTTTTTTGTTCCTACTCTTGCTACTACTTTGTGTGATTTAAATTTTACTGTTTTTGCACTTCTACTCTTGCACTCGTTCTCGCTCCCATTTCATATGACATAGTGACACGAGTTGGAGAAAGATATAATAGTATCATATATTCCATATTTTGATGAACTTTATCAATAACCATTTAAGACACAGATGTACCAGAGTTCTGCATATACATATACTAGAAGAATCAATGTGCATTGCACGTGATGAAAAATGTTTGTAAAATTTTTATCTATAATATATAATTTAATTAAAATTAATATCTATTTCTAAAGAGCTATCTTCAAATTGAAACATCTATTGTGTTGAAATTTTTTATTTCCTATATATATAAAGAGAAATAATGTCAAAATTGGGTGAGCCGAGTCTTTTGGAATTAATTAATGAAAAATAAAAATCCAATTGAAAAAGATGTGACTTTTGGATGAGTGACATTTTTTGGAATCAATAAAAGAATAAAAAATTAAAGATAGTATATATATATATATATATATATATATTGAGAAAACATATCACTTTTGCAAACACAATGATGTAAGGTTTCCGAAATAAATGAGTAACAAAAATCCAAAATTCTAAAATACGGAGTATAAAAATAAAAATAAAACGCTATTTACTTATCAAAATAAATAAAAACACTATTTGACATTTTGGTACATTATTAGTATTTACAAAACTCAACATAACCAAAAAAAAATGAAAAAGTATGAGTGATCTCGATATTACCCAGTAATAAAAATATAAAAATAAAACACTATTTAACATTTTGGTGCATGATTAGTACTAACAGAACGCAACATAACAAAATTTTATTTTAAAAATGAATACTATGAGTATAGGAGACAATGTATAATTATTGGTGAAATTTATGCCTCACCATAAAGTTGAGAACCAATTTACCATCGTAGTGTCCTTAATCTATGGCATAACATAATATGTCTATGACTCAATCAACAAACTTGAAAATAGAATAAAAGAACGGTTTAAATTTAGTAAAATAAAGCAATAAAATAATAAGATATTATATTAAGATTGACGTCACAAAATTCAAGAATGGTGACGCAGAAGAGAGTACAAATTTGGGGTTGTCATGAAACAATTGGATAGATTTTCTTTGTTTTAATTTAACCAACACAGGTGCTTTCAAGAAAAACCATTCTTCCATTTTATTTTCTTTTTAATGGATATGTACTCTCCAATTCAAGCCAACTTTGGGCAAGTGAATTCAATTAAAAAAAAAAATGGATTTCATACCTTTGAAAAAATCGGGTTTTGATTTGTAATTTGTTATACACTAATAAATAATTTGTCTCCAACGAAAGGGGTTTAAAGGTAATTTAGGTTGTTGTAATGTCCAATATGTCCGCTTACCTTTTTAAATGATCAAATCGACATATACTTTCAAGATTCTTGCTGTTTGAAGAAAGAAAGAACGTTAAAAAAAATTATTAAAAAATATAATATATACAAAATAATTTAAATAGGGAACTGATGTATTTTAATCGGGTATTATATAAAGAAAAAGTGTTTAATATGAAGAAAAAAAGAGGTGTTCTTTAAGGTATTTGAAGAGCAAAATATATAAATTATTTATTTTATAATACTATAGGTGTTGGATTTTTTTTTTCACTTCGAGGCGTTAGTAGTTAAAAAGGTAACTTTTAAGAGTTTTATTTTTATATTTGAAATTCAAAGGTGTAAATGTGTATTAGTAGGGAATATTAAAAAAATTGAAATGCTAAAAGATGTAACGATTAAGAATTCGAAAGGTGTATAATGTAAAATGGAATATATATATATATATATATATATATATATATATATATATATATTTACGATACAAAATATTTATTATTTTAGAATAGAGGAAGTGTTTTGAGGTTAGAAGGTGTCTGCTACAAGAGTTTAATTATTTTATTATTATTATTTGAAAAGTCATGTTTCTTGAGAAAACAAAAAATTTAAGTCATGTTTTCTTTTTAAATTAAAAAAACTAATTTCAATGTATATAAATAATACGAAATAAATCCCCTATTTTAAGGGATATAAATATAGATATATTTAATACACATATTATAGATAAATATATATTAAAGTGATTGAATTAAATACCATTTTTATTCTAAATGCAACTCTAAAGAGTTTCTTAATTTCTCACTAATCTTAACCTAAATCTTCATGGAACATACTTCAAAAAATCTCTTCCAAATATAAAAACATTACATATTGGAATCATAAATACTTTGAAGAGAATTAGGCAATGTAGGGAAGGTACAAAAGAACAATATTTCCTAGAGAATTAAACGGAAAAAATACAGAATTAAAAATAAAATCAACAAGGAACAATAAACACATTATATACGAAAAGAAGATCTATAGAGACTTTAGATTGTAGTTAGACAAAAATAATTTATTATAATATAATATAAATAGTACAAATAAAGTATTGTAAAATAATAATAGTTCAATAAAATATCAATAAAAGCATATTAAAATAAGAGAGAGTAAGAAACCTACTTCTGCCCTCTTGGAGAGGCACTATGACAAGCTCCAAAATTGTCAGGTTGAAGAACATTGATTAAGTCTTACATTGCCCTGTTGTCCAAAAATTTAGGATATATATATATATATATAGTACTGTATATTGGACGGACGAAGGAAGAAAGTTTAGAAAAGAAACAAAGTGGAAGATGTAAAATGTATATTATTTTTATTGAACTACTATTCTATTTATAGGCTACTACAAACCTATTCAATAAAGGATAGGTCTGTTTAACTATAAGAAGTTTACTGTTAACTTTTTTCATAGTCATTCACATTTCTTTCACACCATTCATCAATAGACTTTTAAAAACTTTATTTTGTTGAAAACCAATTTGATGCTTGCTAATAAAAAATGTGTAGGGGTTCAAGATGACTGTGAATAAAACCTTTACTAAATTTTTGCATAGAAAGTTAGAGAGAGAGAGAGTAAGAGTGTAAATTCTGGAATTGAAATATCCCAAGTACTTTTTTAAAAAAAAAAAGAAAAAAAGAAAAATAAACAATAAATAGAGAGGTGATATATTTTAACTGACAGAAACTCTTCATGAAAGAAAAGGTGTTTAATATGAATAAGTGTGAATTTAAAAGAAACTCTTTTCTAAAGGAAGACAACTTGGTAAGCCAAAAAAAAAAAAAGTTTATTTTTCATATTAAAAATCTATCTAAAAGTGTAAAAATGTATTCACATGAAAATATAAAAAAATGTTAAAATCTTAAAAGGTACAACGTTTAAGAATCAAAAAGTGTATAACAACGGAAATTGAAAACTGAAAAGTCAAGTAATGAATTTTTAAAATAAATTAAGTGTTTTAAAATGTATATAAATATTAAAAAATGAATCCACTTTATATATGCATTTCAAAATCATTCTGGTAAATAACACACTCTCATTTTACCCTACTAGGGCTTGAACCGAAGTTGAGGAGAAACCACTGAATTACACCCATTGGTGTTACTCTAAATAGTAGGCCTTCCTAATAAAAAAAGTCAATCAAAACATGGTTATTTCAGTGAGTTCTTCATCTAATTTCTTATGAAGCCAAATGCATCACATTGTCAGTAATTAACAAGTAATTTAATTCCACAAACCTAGAGAAATACGATCATAGCAGTAACTCTAGTGCATTTGAAGATTGTGATAGAAGTAAAAACCAAAAGAAAATTAGATATTTACGAGCATCCCCGAACACAAGCAAACTAAACATCCATCATATTCACTTCTATAAAAGCTAAGACGATTCTATTACAAGGGGGAACGTGTAAAATGAAATAAGAAACAACATCAGTCTTGTAGTAGCTCTACGTATGGTGGAAAAGAAGGATATAGTGGAAAAGAAATATGGACTGAAGAACAAACCGGCTTTATATACACTGTTTCATGTTTCGTGGCTTGATTCAGAGCCAAAAACTTCAGTGTTGCAAACCGGACAAGTCTGATAAAACAGTAGGATCAGCTGTGAGAAGAATATTTCTGTAATTCAGATTTCTGAAAATATAAGTTCTAATGAAGGCATTTGTTTACCTTGTTGATGCTGAGCCATTTAGTGCCACACTCAGTATGGTAAATGTGCTTGCATGGCAAATTTATTTGCGAGTCACCCCTTTTATATCTCATCAGGCAAATAACACAGCTGGTTTGCAAACACAGGAAAATATGAGCAGCTTTCAAACGAAATGGAAGTGAGTGAAAAAAAAAAGAAAAAGAAAAAAATGAAGCTTGGATCTATCAACCAATTTTTAGAAGTTGCAACATAATTTCTCCCAAAAACCTACGTAACAAACTTAAAAGTAACTCTTGGACCAAATTTTGATTACTTACCGAAAAAAATAAAAATAAAAAACCTCTTGCAACCCATAAATCAAATCTGAGTTCATTGTTCCATTGTTGTTCGCTGAGCTGGCAAAGAAATTTACAAGTAATGATTCTGAGATTGCATTTGGTACCAAATATGGGAATAGTAACTCGATGAATGACCACTAGAGTGTGGTTTGCAATTTGCTAGGAGCTCTTTAGCTGATTCTAGTTCTAGGGAAAGGGGGTATCATATACCTAAGAGCTCTATTTAAGGGAAGATGACTAGCTTGCCTCAGATGTTGGAAGAAAATAAAATCTTAGTACTTGCATTCCCTTTAACAAGAAGTTCATTTACACTAATTTCTTCACTGTCAAAAGATTTAGAAAATAAAAAAGCCATGAAAAAGACATTTGGGATTACTTGGTTCAGTGTTTTAAGAATAGTTTTATGTTCCCAACCAAAAAAAAATGGAAAGAGCTCAAAATTTTGTTTGGTTGATGTCTCTCCAAAAAAAATTCATGAGAGAGTTAAAAAAATATCCAATTTCAAATAACACTCTCTTTTGGTTCTTCAAAAACAGTCTGTTGTTTTCAAAGTTCTTGCAAAATGTTTTCAGATAACTTATTCTATGTAATAGCACTTCTCTAGGGAAATTCTCACAAATACACATGGCAATAGACTTTTGAGCAAAACTTTATATAAGTTGGACTGAAATGTCTGACAGTAGTGTGGCATAGTGTAGATGGTACTAGAGAAGATTATAGAAAAAGTAACAGGAAAATATATGAGACAAGTGATCAGGAATCTTCCCAGTGAGCAGGCTATGATAAGTTACTCTTGAGTTGATCTCAAAAACAACCCAAAAGTGCATTCTCATTAATTTCTCAAAGGGGAAAAAAAAAAATATTCATGGAAACTCCGGTAATTTTCTCCATTTTGTATCAGCAATTTTCGCTCTCCTCACATCGAAGACTATTTAGCCCAGCACTGCACTAAACAAGTGTATGATATTTGTGTAATATCTCTGTCCACTTTTTGTTGACAATAACAAGCCTCGTTGTTAAACATTTAACAAAAGCAATGAGAATTCATCAACAACAACAAGGGTTGTAGCTTAGTGGTACATCCTCAACTTCCAAAGTAGAAGGTCAAGAATTCAAGTTCCCATAGGGGGCAAAATGTGGGAGTTTCAAATAGGAAAAAATATATTCATCATCAACAAGAACGGTTAGTCCTATATTAACCCATGCAATTTTGCTAAACAAGCTACCAGTATGAACAACTTAAGGCTCTATTTGTTTTGATGTAAAAAAAATTTCGGAAAATATTTTCTCATTTTCAGGTGTTCGGTTACACAAGAATCAGATTTAAAAAGTTGTACAATGATTTACATTGTTTTTTTTTTTTTTTTTGTAAAAATGACTTATTTTAAGCTTTGATCACTTTGTTAATTCTGGTAAGCATATCCACTAAACAAACCTAATCAGCTTGTCTATCTCTACATTCTAGGAGGATATATATATGGGTGTGTGTGAGAGAGAGAGGGCAGCTATCTTTTGACTTTTGCATTCTCAACATCAAGAAAGGGGAGAGAGATTTACCCGTTCGAGAGGATTTGTAAAGTTCGAATAGTTTTGGATAGAAAATGTTCAAAATTTTAGCCAAAACACTGGAAAAGAATAGGAAATATTATTTTATATGTAAAAAGTTTTAGAAGAAAAATATTTTATGATGAAAATGTTTTGCATCAAAATAAATGGAGCCTAAAAAAAATGGCACACACTGATCCTCATGACATGTACTTCTTTAATGAGAATGATAACATCAGCATCATTTTGGTATTACCCCAGAGCAGCAACCGGACTTGCCACTAGTCAACAAGCAAATGATTAGTTATCTTTTGTTGTTAATATCCAGGACCCTTAAAAAATAAATAAAAATTATCCGTCCCTATTTTTTCATATTTCAAAATTCCTAATTATAGGTATCATTTTGTTTCTTCTATTTTCACAAACACCCATTATACAGTCCAAGAAATAAAAGGCTTATTGCAGGATAATATCTCTTTTGAGCTTTATCACATCTAGGATCTCCAGGTTGAAAACTTGAAGCAGGAAATATAGAACCATTATTTACTAAGAATAAAAATACAATAAATAAAACAAAAAACAAGGATAGGTCAGAACAAAACGTTTAAAGCTATGCTTGGGAAGTGGAAGAAAATCAAGAATTTTACCTCTCTCTAGATTTTCTTCTTAAGAAGAAACGACCAGACTTGTACCTTGAGGTTGGAAGCAAATTAATGAATTCTTGGGAAAGACCTCGACTATGAGTTCCAACTGCCTCACCTAAATCAAGTAATTCCTACAGCAGCAAAACCAAAGATCCAAGTAAAATTAAAATTAAAATTAAAATGTCACTGCTTTCAGTCATAACTCAGCAGTAGCAAGTAAAGACTAAGAGATTTAAGAAACATTAAGGTCTGCTTGTAGTTCAGTTTTGTGGATATAATTTTCTGTTCTCGAATAACTGAAAAACAAAAAATAGTTCGGAAATTCATTTGGTTGACAGTTTCAGGAAAACTACTGTAGCATGTTAAGACTAAGAAATTTATACTAACACTAAGGTGTGCTTGTAGTTCAGTTCTCTGAAAATATATTTCTTTTTTTAGAGAACTCAAAATTAGAAAATAGTCATTTGGTGTGAGAACTACTCTCCGGAAACTGAGTAGAAGAGTATGTCTTCATTTCAGATAACACACTTTTGCAGTTCTTTGAAAACTGCTTTCTATTTTTAGAGTTCTCAAAAACTGCTGCCGCCAGAAAACTACACCGAGATGCCTTATAAAACCATTTAATTCTGAAATGGAACTGCTAATATCTTTTGAATATTTACCAAACATGCTACTCACACCCACAAAAAGGTGGTTGTTTTCAACTTTTTAATTACTAATCAATAACCATACATCACTTGGAATACTTATGAGTAACCAAACTTGTATACAACTGTAATCGAAACAAAAAAACAGAATGAGGCATTCCGTTTATTCCTTTGTAATATTTCTATTTATAGCCACACGAGGGAGAGGATAATGGATTAAAGTAATCGTCGGTTTTGTAGTACAAGTTATATTTCTTTCTTCCTCACTAAGAACTCCTACAATGATCTTTGGGAGACTTGGACCTTCCACCTTCCACTTTGAAGGTGAGGACTTGGTGGCTCGTAGTACAATATATCAGTAACTGTGCTCAGTGCATAGCAGATGATTGCTCCTGGTTAAACGAGATATATATATTTTTTCCTTGTGTCAGACACAGTATGATTAGGCTAGTTATGTGACATGCTAAAACTAACTGCAAGACATCAATCTCTTAAATTCTGCACCAATCAATTATGATTTTTCCTTGCCTGCAAAGACCCTTTCAACCTCATACTACTAAATGTTCCTAATTCATAAAGAAAGCTGGCCTGTTTATCTTTTGCTATTCAAGTTTTGTACAATCATTAATGCTTAATTTAATGGATAAAGTAAATTGCAATTAGTAGATAATTTTTTTTATCTAATCAATTAAACTACTTCAAAGACAAGATGCAATGTTATTTTTGCCCCATCTCTGACATCACATTGATACACATCCACGTGGATGTGCATTACAGGTTTAATAATTCATCATAAATGCAAGCTCACACATTTAAATAATGACCTTGTTCTCAAGAGCTAAGCATATATTTGGTACTTAATAGTTTTCTGGTGAACGAAAGTACTTTCTGCCAAAGATGCTTTACTTTATCCACTCTAGACCAACCAAAATAACTAGGTTTGATAATTCATCATGCATATAAATATGCACATACTTACCGTCACAAGGCAAGCCTTCACAGTTAAAACATTAATTGTGTGTGCAGGTGGACATCATATGTTGCCGTGCTTATAATATTTCTTTGGTAAAAAAGGTACTCTCTACTAAAACCAGATGTTTTATTTTATCCAATCCAGGCAAACCCCAATAACTAGGCTTTAGTATCTTTTGCTAAATTGATCCTAAACATGAAAGTTAATTGCCTCATGAAGAATGGCAAAACCACAGTTCCCTTCGCAAGAAAACAGTAAACTATGTATACAAAGCATCAACAAACTATGCATGGCAAACCTCATAGGTCATGTTGTCAGGATCAACAATGTCTTGCCAAATGACCTGCAATAGTACATACAGAGAAAGAAAGGCTAGATTATTATCTTCCGTAAGCACATAGCATGCAAATCTTGCCATCAAAACAACAGCAGTTCAACATGCATAATGCCATAAGCAAACAAGATTTTAAAAGGAACCCAACAATCAAATATAAAAAAGAAAATCATTACAAACAATTAAATTTACTAGTCAAAAGTGGTTTATAGGTAGGGATGTAATCTAGCCTCTGAAGACAACCTGGAGCAGTTCAAATGGATAGAAACCAATATTTGCAAAAATAATAGATTCCTTTTCATAATTCATGTTAAACCATTTTATTATCAGAATGGCCATTGCCCATGTTGACCATATTAAATCAGAGTGCTACCACGAGGTAAACTCGGTGCAGAGGCAAGTTTGGCAGTATTTGCATAAAATAGCACCCTCATATTGAAATATGCATTTTCACGCTGCCCAAACTCTACCACTAGGCAAAGGCCCTCCAGTGTCACGTGTGAAAACTGATACGTTAAAATATAACTGAGATATCAATAAATAAAAAATTATAATAATCCCATTCAGATATGATAGTAGTTCATTTGGCCAGGTTGGCGTCATACCTGTGAACTAGTATCATCATCATGATTCGGAGTGCCTGCAAAGTAATGGGAGACAATATGAGTGCATAAAGACATACTCTAAACATATAGCAGTGAAAAAGATCATGTAAGCCAAGATTTCAACTTCAGAATAAAATAAAATAAAAATGTAATGACATATATATCACAACTTGGCATATCCGTTCTGAAAAGTTAATTCTCATAGCACATGATGACATTACAAGACAATACCGCTGCCATGCTAAAAAACTTTTCTTTACAAAAATAAATAAATCAATAGATTTGAGTACCTTAAAGTGGCCAATAACTTGTACAAATAAAGTCAAAAGGTAAATAATGTGGTCAAAGTTACTGTTCAAGTTCTAAATTGTATCAACAATGTTACAGTATCATTAATGACAGATTATAATTTATAACAGGTTATTTAACAACAGAACAGAATTCAAACTAACATTCTTCAGGGATAGTATGCATACTCGGGACTGCATTCCCTCCAGACTGCAAGTCTACGTCTGCAGGTTCTTCCATATTCACCATTGAAGGGTATTCCCAAGCCCTTCTGCTGACATCCATTATTGGTAAATGATCATTTACCTCATAAGGACCATAATAAGTAGTACTTCCAGGACTAGATAATCCGAATTTGTAAGAATTCAAATTCATTGACCAGTATGCAGTTTCCTGGAGGACAGCATAAAGAAATACTTTTATCCATCACAAAGAAGTAATTTTTTCTTTATGTGCAATACCCATTAGAATTAGAAGCCCTGATACTAAAACATTAGGTAATGTCTATTATGCATATAAAAGATGTCTAACATATCTTCACTTAAAAATAATTGTCACCATTTATCAATAGTGTGCTTCAATCCATTAATGAAAAATTCTGATCCTGCAAGTAACATAATATGAATTCGCAATTTTGAACTGCCTAATTGCTTCAAAAATAGGCATTTCCCTCAAGTACTAACATCCTAAACACCCAGACATGTAAAACCAAATTTATTTTCTAAATTTAATAGAAGGGTGTTATGCAGGGTGTTATGTACATGTGAACTTAATAATATGTTGTTGAGCTCATTCCTAAACAACTTGAGTTTGGGGGCATTTGGAGTCCAACATGACAGCAAAGCTTTGGTAAAATCTTTAAATCGGAAGGTTTTGCTGCATATGTTCACTTTTGTTCCCTCTTTTGGATGTTTGGACTTTCTTCTGTCTGTTTGCCCGTCTATAGGAGCAATACGGAGTTGCATGTCGAGACAATTGGTACACATTATTTGGCCCATTCCTTAATCACTTATGCTTTTGGGACAACTGGTAGTGTAATAGTACAAACCAAAACTACTGCATGAAATGACAGCCCTTTGACTCACATTTACAATTTGAGCTTGACAGAATAAGCTTTTAAAATTTCACAAAATAAAAATGAAAATCATCTTTCTAATTCAATAGAAGAATGGGAAAACAAAAAATACAGATAAAAAACAAAGAATTCCCCATCCCTTATTCATGAACAGCATGGATCTACCAACCTTAAATCTAATAAGCACTAAAAAGCTCGAATTAACTATTGTTAAACTTTTACAGCATTTCTCATGTATTATATACATTTTATCTAAAACAATATGAACTAGAAACTTTAATTACCTGATCAAGCAAAGGTCCAGCATGAGCATAATGTACAGGTGCATGTGTAAGACCTTCGAAGAAGTCCATAAAACTTTCCGTATTAGTGTAAGGAAAGCCTGTATTTATATAATGCACCTCCAATTGTTGATTCCCATTCATTTTGCACAACTATTCTACTCAAATATGCAAAACAAGCTGCAAAAGATACATAAATTACTGTTACCAATGCCCAAGTAGGGAAAAAAAAGAAAAAAACGACGACGACAACAACAACAACAGAGATTAGTGTACATTCTGCATAGGCTCAAAGCGGGGTTATAAAGAATCAAACTATCAAAGGCAAGCTAAGCAACCATGCTTTCGGCTCCTTCTAAGAAATAAAACGAGTTCCAAAAGAACATGTTTTTACACAATTCTTTTCCATATTTTCTTATGTTGAAAACCATGAACCCTTTCTTCCCATAAATTATCAATATCTTAATCTGGAACTAGAAATGTTTTCTTGTTCATCCGAAAAACTAATAATATATTTTTCCCCAAATAAACACACACATATACACCAATACACATACACATTCCATAACTCATTCCCTATCAAAGGCAAGATAAGCAACCATGCTTTCGGCTCCTTCTAAGAAACAAAACGAGTTCCAAAAGAACATGTTTTTACACAATTATTTTCCATATTTTCTTAATGTTGAAAACCATGAACCCTTTCTTCCCATAAATTATCAATATCTGAATCTGGATCTAGAAATGTTTTCTTGTTCATCCGAAAAACTAATAAAATATTTTTCCCCAGATAAACACACACATATATACACATACACATTCCATAACTCATTCCTATAATTTACAGGATAATCACACATTTGAATTCATCGTCATCTTCTAACAATCATAAGATGCATCACAACCATTTAGCAACTAAGCATAAAGAATGTTCTTGTTACAAATTATCATGCAATTAGGAACCACTTATTTTACCATCACCTCAGCAATGATTGACAAAGACTAAACTCATGAAATTTATATTGGCATTCCAAGTTCATCCAGTATATAAGAGTGTATAAGGCCATGAATTAGCACAAGTGAAAAAAAAAAAAAAATTGAATCTTAGAGTTCTACTTATGTAATTGGGACCTCTGGAAACACAATGTTCTCACCCAGTAGCCTGATTCAGCCATGTGGCTAAATCAAATTTAGCTTCCATCTCGTCATAAACCAAATAACCAATCGGAAATCAGAATTCTATTTCTTTCCGTTTCACACATTTTCTCAGCAACCAAACAGGGGATATGATAAGTTTATGCTACAATTTTTTACAACCAAACACAACACGCAGATTCCTCCTTCAACAGGATCATTCGGAAAAGAGCTTAGAATAAATGAGCAATTCAAGACCTCTTGGGTGAAAACTCATCAAACAAAACTCAAAAAAATTAGGGCTAAAACGCTATTATTGTACTGATTTGCATTTACATTTACGAGGCATCAAATGAAACTCTTGATTATTCTAGAATGAGAAAGAAAAATAAGCAATAAATAATGACATTAGGAAAAGAACCAAACTGGAAAACAAGAAGAGAAAAGGATATATAGAGAGAGAGAGAGAGCAGAGAAGTAACAGACATTGATGAGCTTTGAGCAGAGGAGTTAAACTGAGAAACGGACAAGCAAAAAGCTCTTCTGCGTGAATGGCATGAAATCTTCTCTCCCTCTATATATACACACACACACACACTTTATCTACTGCATTTCTCTCACTAGTCCACTATACACTTTCTCTCTCTAGACCATCTCTCCCTTTTGGCCTGATTTTAGAGACGCCAATACGCCATCTAAATCCGTTTGGTTCAGTTTTGAAATCAGAATTAATATATATTTTTATATTAATAAAATGAAAAAGGGTTAAGTGCAAAAAACTCCCTCTACTATCGATATAGTGCGTATCAGTCCCTTAGTAAAAAAAAACCCCTATACTATTAATTTGGTGTGATTGGGTCCCTGATGGTGTAAAATGACGATAATACCCTCCCTTCAGTTGAATAAATTAATGATTATAAATACAGGTCATGTAAAATGGCCCTTTTGTCCAAATTTGTATAAAATGGGGTTTGTTTGGCAGAAGGATAATATAAATCTCAAATTGTATAAAATTAGGATAACCTAAATCTGAATATAATTAAATCTAAAACCAAACATGCCCTTTGGTTCGGCAGATTGTCCTTATCGGCAAATCGAGCTACACCAATTTGCCGTGGTGGCGGCCATTTGCGGCAACGATGTTATGGTGGCCGGAGGGCAATATGCAGCGACGACGGCGAAAATATGCAGTCACCGTCGCCGCACTTATCTCATATTGTCGCCGTCGCCGCACTTATCTCATTGGCGACTATGGGTCTCCATGAATTCACGCGATTGCGGCATCCATGGATTATGGCATCAATCTGCCATGTGTTTGCGGAGTAAGGGATCAATTGTGCCAGCAATTCGTGACGGCGAGGTCGGATGATTGGATTTGGTTAGGCAGGTTGTCCTCATCGGCGAATCAATCTACAGCATAGGCAAGGATCTGCCGTTGCGGCAGCGACATTATGGAGGAGGGCAATATGCAGCGACGTCGGCGACAACTTAATTTCCGGCGATGGCGACGTATTAAAATGGCATGCCATTGGGTTATTTACCACCGTTGTGCTAGGCTATAAAAGTAGCATTAGATTAAGCATTCAAGGATGCTTACTCAGAGATTCACATTCACTGAACACGTATTTGATGATTTTGATCCATGTCTACTTTCTTCTCTTCAACCAAATTTCTTCCCTGAGCCTCTCATATTTGTAATTTGATATCTCTAGTTTTTTTTATTGCATTACGAAAAATAACCCCTACAAATACTTATAATTTTTTATAAGTTATTTAGGAAAAAAAAAAAAAATTTAAGTTGACGAGTTTAATGTGACTTTTTAATTTGTTCAATAAAAATTGGGAACAAGAATTCGTGTATATGCATGTTTGCCATTTTAATTAAAATTGGTGCTAATATTGTTTTGTTATAATATATAATAATTTAATAAGTATAAGATAAATATTATATTTTTGTTAAAAAATAAATAAATATTACTCCATACAAATTCTAAAGTTGAATCAAACAGAATTAGAATTCTAATATAATTAAAAAATAATAAATTGAACTAGAATTGTAATTTAATTCCATAACCAAACATACCCATAGTCTTTTTTTTTTTCATTAATAGATAAAAGTTGCCTATTGATTAAAAAAAAAAAGAAAAAAAAAACAAGAAAAGGGTATATTTTACTAGTAATGATAACGTGAAATTTAATTTATTTATTTTTGTTAATGTTCTTTTTTTCTGTTAATATTTTTTCTCTATCAAACATTTATTTTGATGTTGATGATACATTTATTTTGGCTACTGAACACAGTATGATGGGGGCCTTTTATGCACAAATGCTGAGGGTCTTTTATGCACAAATTGTGAGGGGCAAAATGGGAAAGAAAAGGGTAAAATGGGGTTTTAAGTTTTTCTTTTCGTAAAAAGTTGTCAGAGGGACCTGTTATGCACCTTTTTTGAATTTTGAGGACTTGCATGGACTTTTTCAAAAAGTAGGGACTTGTTCTGCACAAAGTCTATATATCAGTGGGGTTTTCTGCACTTAACCCTGTGAAAAATAAAATTTTGACACATTTGAAAATTTATATTCTCTATTAATAAAAATTGATTTTTTTTTGTATTATATAATATCTATATATATTTAATTACTATTAATGTCTCCATTTGATTCTTTCCCACTCTAAATTGAAATCAAACCTTTATCAATAAATCTGTACCACAACCAAATCATTTCATCACAAAATCAAACTAAATAGAACAATTCAGCCCAGTAAAATATGATTTATAAATTCTAATCAAATTTTGGATACCCATAACTCGATTAACATTATCGTTTAGTCAAGTCGGTTCACTTTTTAGAAAAACAACACAAAAAATACATACCAAAAAAAAAAAATGCTATGAACCATTGATGATTGAAGTGATAGACCAGACATTAATTCAATCACCCAAACATAATTTTATTATTTTAAATACAAGACCTACAATTGCTGTATTGATTGACACTTGGTGTATTGATTGATACACGATTCTTTTTTTGATATGAGACTCGAATAGACCAATTTATATTGATTTAATTCGAATTTGTTACATTGCGATCTCGACCGCGATTGCAGCGGATAGTGCTAACCATTGTTACAATACATATACAATCATATTACATTATTACCAACCAAACATAATCAGCTTTAATCATTATGTTGTTAGTTCAATTGATTAGAAGTGTTTATACTAAAAAGCCAAAGACACGTAACCCTTTTTTAACCCAACTTGAAGCAATGGTTGACAACCAATTCATTTTTTATAAGCACAGATTCAAATTTACACTACACTATTATTGATGCGAAAATTTTCGCGACTCGAAACGAAGGTATTTACCTGCAAAATAAAAAGACGTCATCTTGAATGACATCGATGGGGTGCCAGCCGAGGACCTTCAGATGATCAAGTTAGTACTTGTAATCGTATCACATAATAATTATGTATATTCTGTCTAGGGGTTTTTTTCTCGTTCCTTCATTAACGGCTTGGTGCCTTATTTATGGCTGTCAATTGGAATCAAATTGGTCTCGCGGGAGACCCGCTTGTGCGAGATCAGAAGAGATCGTTTGTTGCCAGATTTGTCGGGGATATGATTTACTCCTTTGACTTTCTCAAATTGTGCTAAAGTTATCCTCACCCTGTTGAACCACGTCGTCATTCATTATCCTGGATAAGAAATGTCATCATTCTTATCTGATGAAAATCTTTATCTCTGAAAACGAAATATGTCGAAGAGATCTGGCGGCTGGTCAAGGTAAGTTATTTTTCCATATCAGTTGCACCCCATTCCTAAGCTTGCTCGTCTAGCTTTGGGAATGTAAAATAATAATATATATATTATATTCTTTTTGCCCCCTCACTGTTCCCTAGGGAACAGTACCCTCGAGTACTATTCACTGGAATAGTAAAACTCTTTTTTTTTTTTTTTGCCCTGGGTGTTGTTCCCCTGGGTACTCTTCCCTTGGGTAATTTTTTTCCATTGTGTACTATTTTTGATCCCCTTGGATAATCTTCCCTTGGGTAATTTTCCCTCGGGTACTATTTTTAGTACCTTTGGGTAGTTTTTCCCTGGGTACTATTTTTGGTACCCCTGGGTAATCTTCCATTGGGTACTATTTTTGGTACCCTTGAGTACTCTGCCCCTGAATATTATTTTTGGTACCCTTGGGTACTATTTTTGATACCCTTGGGTAATCTTCTCTTAAGTACTATTTTTAGTACCCTTAGGTATTCTGCCCCTGAGTACTATGTTTGGTACCCTTGGATAATCTTCCCTTGGGTATTATTTTTGGTACCCTTGGGTACTCTGCCCCTAGATACTATTTTTAGTATCCTTGGGTACTCTGCCCCTGGGTACTATTTTTGGTACCCTTGGGTACTCTTCCCTTGGTACGGAAATAAATTGTACGAGCTTTACTCAGCTTGTCCCTTTAGTAAGGAATTTTTATTTATCATACCTCATAATAAGGGGGTATTGATTACGGGATTCATTCAACCCGGGTCCTTGTAGTATAGGACACTTATTTATTATCCCTTACAGTACGGGGATATTAATTACGGGATTCATTCAGCCCGGGTCTTTGTAGTACATGACACTTATTTACTATTCCTTATAGTACGGAGATATTAATTATGGGATTCATTCAACCCGGGTCTTTATAGTAGAGGACATTTATTTACTATTCCTTATAGTACGGGGATATTGATTATGGGATTCATTCAGCCCGGGTCCTTTTAATACAGGACACTCATTATCATCCCTTGTATCCCTTTAGTAAGGGAATTAGATTTTGTTAAGCGTCGGGAATGCCAAGTCCTACTGAGCTAAGCATGCTTGATGATTACTTTCTTGCCCCTTTTAATAAGGGAAGTGGATTTGCTCGAGCGTTGTGAGCTCTCCCTTTAATAAGGGAGTAGTTAACCCGTCGTTTTTTATCGAGGGAAGAAGAAGAAGTTGACCCTTCGTTCTTTTATGGGGAAAGAGATGCAGTCTGAAGGAGGGTGACCCCTTTAATACAAGAGGTAGTCGTCTCGTCTTTCTAGTAAATGAAGGAAGTTTTAATTATCTCACCATTCTGTGTAGAAGGAGTAGCCGGTTTCTTGCCCCTTTAATGACGGAAGAATGTGTTGTTGGCCTCTCATCCTGGACGACTAGTGCCCTCGAGGGGTCGCTAAAGGAGAAAGACTAAAAACCTGATTAGCTAGATGTACCAAGGTTGGTACGTTAATCTTCTAGACCTTTTTATTATATGCAGATCGACGATTGATATCGTGTGATCCACTATTCTGCCCTCGATGGTGGGATATTGGGTGATGACCTATTCTATAGACGTTTATACAGCGGATAGGGTGCCTGGTGCTGCAACAATTTACAGTTGTCTAAAAATATTAAATTGTGTTAGAAATGATTATTGAAAATTAACCTGCCATGGATTATCAATCCAAAGTTCTGCATAATCTGAAGTCGATAGGCAATTCCTGCAAAGGAAAAGAGGTGACGATTGTCGTCTGGTAGGTGGAGGTTTGGTGTCCAGCAATTGGCGTGATAGGGGCGTGGTACCCAACGACTGACAGATGATGGTCTGGTGGCCAGTACCTCGTTGGGTCCAATGATCGCCCTTCACTTAGGAACCTCTTTGGAAATACAGATTTCATGG